CTGATGGGGGATATGGATTTCCCTGTTGTCGTGGTGTAGCCCCAGCCAGCAGCTAAGCACTGCACAGCTGCTCGCTCATCTCCTTCCTACCCCAGTGGGATGGGGAGAAGAATTGGAGGATTAGACAAGGAAACTAGTGGGTTGAGATAAGAATTCAATAATTGAAAAGAATGACATGAAATAATGATACCAATACCAATAATATGAATATTATTGTTGATAAATACCGACCATACTAATACTACTACTGATACGTAATGGAAATAGTGGAAAATAAATGATACAACTGCTCATCACTTGCTACCCAACACCCAGCCTGTCCCTAAGCTGCCAGAGGGCCAGAGCGAGAGCGAGCCCCAGTGAGCGAGAGGGAGTGAGCCAGACACCAGACCCACCCCAGACCGAGGATGATGTTTTATGGAATGAGATATCCTTGGGGTCAGTTTGGGTCAGCTGTCCTGTGTCCCCTTCCCAGTTTCTTGTAGAGAGCAGTCTGGGAACACAGGGACAGTGTGAGACTGGATACCGACCTTCCTTAGCAGCTCAGCACAACCAAAACAGCTTCACACCAGCCACTGTGGAGAGAATTAACCCTGTCCCAGCGAAACCAGCGCATTCTCCACCCCTTATTTCATACCATTTACGTCCTCCTCGAGTCCCACGCTATCCGATACGTTCTCCTTAACCACCTTCCCATCCCATCCTCCATGGATGTCATTCCCTTAGACTGTGGACCATCTTGGCCAATGTCCATGACATATACATTAGGTTCATTTAGTCCGTGACTTCGGGTTCCATCCGCTGGTGTGGTCGCTCCGGACAGGAGAGGTGGAGCGTTCTGTGGGATGGCTGGGCATCAAAGCCAGCTGGGGTCAGGGCACTGCTGCGCTACTTCCCCTAAGGTTTGTCCTATATTGGTTCAGGTGACTTCTGTAGTAATTCCTGTAGCACACAGCTCAGACCCGGAGTTATGTACAGCAGTTGATGTCCATCATGCAGTGTAAATCACTGGCTATTTTCACCCCAAATCAAATCCCCTTGAGGCACATGTCGCACTTCCACGTCTTCTCTTTACCCCCCAAGTGCTCCCAGGTCCCTTGAGCGAAAGCAATCCCAGGGGTAGGTTTGCCTTTGCCCATGGCAGGGGGAGACTAAAAACCCAGACTGTTTTTAAAGTGCACCACAGGGACTTTATCTCCTTCTACAGTACGGAAAAGTCTTGGTTGGGCAGGGCCAGCCCAATTGGCAGATCCTCTAGTGTTGACTAACCAGGTGGCTTTTGCTAAATGGGTGTTCCAGTTCCTGACTTCACCCCCCGTGGCTCTCAGGGTGGTCTTTAACAGCCCGTTGCACTGTTCGACCTTCCCAGAGGCTGGTGCGTGATAGGGGACGTGATACACCCACTCAATGCCGTGCTTTTTGACCGAGGTGTCTACGAGACTGTTTCGGAAATGAGTCCCATTGTCTGATTCAATCCTTTCCGGGGTGCCCTGTCGCCACAGGGCTTGCCTTTCAAGGCCCAGCATAGTATTTCGGGCAGTGGCATGGGGTACAGGATATGTTTCCAGCCATCCGGTGGTTGCTTCCACCATTGTGAGCACATGGCACTTGCCCTGGCGGGTTTTGGGGAGGGTGATGTAGTCAACCTGCCAGGCTGTCATTGTGATCGGAGTAGCTGCACCGCCCCTTGAGGGGGTTGGAGTAGCTGCAGGTGGTGGTGTGGTGGCATTGTCGGCTGCCGCGTTGTTGGTTGCCAGCTGCGGGCGCTCATGTAGCTGCACTGCCCCTTGCAGGGGTTTGGTTGGCTGCAGTGTCCGTGGTGGGAGTCTGGGTGGCTGCATTGCCTGTGGTGGGGTTTCAGGGAGCTGCACAGTGCCCACATTCACACCAGTAGCAAATGGGGTGGTATTTCTAAACAGTTGTTTAACATTGAGCAGTATCTGGAGAATATGCTGGAGCATGCTGATTCCTAGCGATAGGATGCTCCAAGAGCATGAAAAATAGCCAAAATAATCATACATTGTTGTCATTGGCCTGGTAGAAAAGGGAAAAAAAGTGGGACAATTTCTTCTCCATAGGTCGGGTCCCCAGAAAGGTGAAAGGTGTAATTGTTAAGAGTCTCTAGGAGACGGCACCCGAAGTACCAGGGTGATGATGGTATTGCGTACAGATAGTCCTTGGCTTGATATAAACATACCTTAGCAACAGCTACAAAAATGAGTATCTTATCAGTATTTCTTCTTAGCACAAGAAAAACAGCCTCGTACCAGCTATGGTGAAGAAAATTAACTCTGTCCCAACTAACCAGCACACCTCTCCTAGTGCCCGAGCTCATGTGGCTCTCCAGTGGGGCAGATTTGGGGCTGATTCAGGGTAAAACATACCTGTTTTCTTCCCTGGAACCCTGTTCTGCATTGGTTATTTGGAGTTGCTGCTCTGGGGGAACCTTGCAGCTTCAGGGGCAGGAAAACTGCGGTGTTACTCTGTGGAGCAGCGTGTTGCCAGTCCACATTTAGGAGACAACACAGTTCTGGTTTACCCTGAGCAGCAAAGCTGTTCCTGACTGCAAGTCTTGCGCAGGGAGGGTGGGTGAGGGTTATCTGTAGGGGGCTTGAAGGGTTTCTCTCGTTGTTGCAGGGAGCCGGGCCTACGTCCTGCTGTCCCTGAGCCAGCAGGATGGAATTGAGCAGCACATGGACTTCGACAGTCGCTACACCTTGCTGGAGCTGTTTGCTGAGATGATGTCCTCTGAAGAGCACTGCATGTCCTTTGAGGGGATTCACCTTCCCCAGGTAGCGGCAGGCCCTGCCAGCCCTGGGCTTGTGGTCTTCAGGGGTCAGGAGGGGTGAGAGTGGGGGGCCAGGGTGGGCTGGTGTCCCTGTTTGGGACAGGAGGGCAGTCGGCAGCAGAGCCAGGAGTGGGTGTGGGGAGAGCTGGCACAGGATCTGGGCCTGGCTTGGGGCTGGGGGTGGTGGAGGGGCACGTGAAGAGCCTTGTCTCTGAGCAGGAGGACCAGGGTGGGCTGAGAGGCCTCTGTTGCTGCCTGCTGCTGCGGAGCCATCGCGGGAGCCTGACGGTGTCTGAGCTGGTAGCTCAGAGAGCTGGGGCTGGAGGTGCTCCGCAGGCTGGAGTCTGAGAGCCGTGCTCGTTGCAGATCCCCGGGAAGCTGCTGTTCGCCCTGGTGAAGCGCTACCTGTGTGTCAGTTCTCTCATGGACAAGCTCAGCAGCGACCTGGAGCAGGGAGGGGAGCAGCAGGACTGCGCCGTGCCCAGCCCGCCTCCTGAGGAGAGGAGCCGCCTGAAGCAGGAGTTTGAATTCAGCATGGCTATGGCCAACCTCATCCTGGAGCTGGTGCACGTGATGGGCTGGGACCACGGCCACAAGCCGGAGCCGCTGCCCCAACGGGAGCTGCAGCCTCGCGCCACCCGCTCCATCTTCCAGCACGGGGCCACATCCTGCCCCGCTGC